ACGGTATATGTGTGTAAAATTGTCCCCTTAATAGTGGTTTTTGACATGATTTCGTAAAATAATGACATAGATTTTTTATAATCTTATTTTAATTGGCCTAAGTATGAGTTACAGTTGAAATATAACTAATTTACATCTGTAATTTGCAATGCAAAAATCAATTCATTTATGATATGAAATCAACATAAACGTAATTTATTATTTGTTCCCTATATTGTTCTATGATTTGGATGCAATGTTAATGACCAAATATTCTTTTTTTACACTTTTGATACACTTTCTATTGGATGCACAAGATAGAATAGTATTAATAGAGTAAAGACTTAAAAATTAAGGTACCGATTAGAATCCTGTGAAAATACACTATTCCTAAACAAAAAATTTGGTTAATGGTCGAAACTGACAAGATTGTATTTATACGAATTACAGTAACACATGCACTAGGCCTACCAATGTCCATTCTAGATATTGAAAGAAAATTATGGTTTGATGTTAGGCGTATTGCTCAAACGGTGTCAAAATATAAATTTGAATGAATTTTTCTTGTTCTTAAAATACTATAGCTTTTTGATACAATAAAAAAAAATAAGTGTCCACTTAATAGGGGTTAAATGTGTACGGTATTGATTTGACCATTTGGCACACTCAGAAAGTTCCCGTCCCCTTAATAGGGTTGTACCCCTTCGGGTTGGCCATCATGTTAAAGGATATATTTCTTCACGTTTCACAGAAAAATGTCACATTTATAGGGATGTCCCAAAGGAGAAGTTCTACTGTAGAGAAACACAAAGTTGGACTGATAATAATTGACTCTTTTCATCTTACTTGAGCAACTCTCTTCATCAATGACCTTCCATATCCTCTTCCTACAAATGAAGAATGCCATAAAATAAAAATATAATGTATAACAGATAGGCTAAAGTAAAAGTAAATAATAATAAATAAATGTATGATCAGAAGTGCAATGTTTTTATTGAGAGAGCTACCAAAGAAAAGGAAATATGGCATGCTATGATTTAAATTAACCATTCATTAACCTAGTAGTATTATTAGTTAATGAACCTACCTCTAAATTCTTCCATAATGTAAAGGTCTTCCATAAAGACCCCTTTGCCTTTCATAGTACTGTAAGCGTAATAGAAAACGCTATAGCCAATCACCTCACTTTTGTCATTACCTGGTCTTTTATATTCAGCAACGAGACATGAAGCAAGTCCATCTGAATCAAATATATCCTTCTTCAGTCCTAATCAATATGAAAATGTATCATTTTATAAAATTTGTGACTAATATCATTGATTGAGTAGAGCTTTAGTGGTTAGGATATTTGCCTTCCAATCCCATGGGGTTAGTGGTTCAATTGGATTTTCAAATTCAGTGAAAGGATTTTCGTCACGAATGAAAAAAAAATTCTACTCCCCAACTTAGTTCATAATGATGAGACCCAAGAGCTCTTGGTGGTGGTTCAATACCCTATTCACTTACGGTTCCGTTGGCAGAGCAAGTCTTCTCTGATAAGGACTATTTAAGTCCATTGTACATAACTAAGAAGTGTGCACATTAAACAACACAGCATCATTCGAGAAGAAGAGAATGACAGTGGTGGCGCCAGCGGTAAGGGGGGTTGAGGAGAGAGGAACGGGGTATTTTCCTCCGTCGGGAAGACCTGGGCAACCATCGCCCGAAGCCACAACGAGGTCGTCGCACGAAAAATATTAAGTTGCCTATCCAAAACGTTGTTTTGATTGCCAATCCGTAATATTGTGGACTAAATGCATAATCTTGGGCCATAGGGCCTACCTACTAAGCCATACCAATTCTCCCCATGAACCCTATCAGGCATTTTTATTCCGGGGCCCTGATCAAGACTGTCAGTAGGGGGGGGGACGTTCCCCCTCGTTTTGCCGCTAAATTTTAAAAATGTCAATGCAAATCATCAATGTTATGTGCTACTCACTTTCTATTTTTAAACTGTTGTGTGCGCCCCCTCCCCCACCTCCCGTTTGAAAAATGTTGGATCCTCCCCTGGGACCCCTCGTTGGCAAATTTCTGGTTCAGCCCTGATGTAGCCAGGAGCGGATCAATAAATTTTCTGACGGGGCCGGGCCCAATAGGTAGAACACACCCACCTCAGCCCCACCATAATTGGGGTGAGAAATTTTAAGACTAGGCCTAATATGCCCCGCTAGATGCTCTAGTCCGGGTGCCATAGTGGTTTGGCGTGCAAAATTTGGTGCATAATTGTTTTAAGTGGATTTTGGCTCTACAAGTCGTCCAGATTGATATTCCACCGGGTAACATTCTGTTACACTCGGGGGATTCGAGAAATCCAAGATGGCTGCCAAAATGGCCGCCAAATTTGAATATTACCCCTAATTCCTATAATATTTTACATAGAACAATATTTTTTGGTCTATACATGGTTTAAGAAGTCAAAACACATTAAAACCATCCAATGTCAGTTTCAGCCACTTGTGGCTGTGAAAATCCAAAATGGCACTCTTAGATGGTAAAAATGCTTTTTCAAAGCAGTGTTCCTCCTCGACAAAATTATTGACTTCTTCCCGACGGGAGCTGCCTATGTTCCCCTTCCATAGACACCCCTACCCTCACGGGCGTCGGAAAAGTCTAATTAAGGACCTATAGTCTATTCTATACCTGGAGTCTGACAGAAAATCATGATTAATGCACCGCTGATGCCCGGAAATAGTAATTATTCAGACCTAATTTCAATATTTCATCTCCATTTTCACGAAACTTTTGACATCATGTAGGGGTCCTGGCCGACTTGGCACTCCATCCCCACTGAATTGATATGTCCTACAGTCGATGTCAAAGACACATTATGCTGTTATGTATCAACAAAGCCCTTTTAGATCAGGGTGCTATAGAGCGAGGATCCTATGTGTAGGGGCACTGCAGGGGCCCCTAAGTGTCGGTGGCCCTGCGGACCGCCGCACGAGAGCGCATACGCGTTGGTACTACATTCCGTTAATAATGGCTTAAAAAAACCGTCTTAGGTGTCCGTCTTTTGGCCTTTTTTACATCCTGGCTTATGAAATCGTTAGAAAAAATCGGCGTCGGGGATATAGCGTAATGTTTTGTTCGTCGTCGATCAATAGAAAATTCAAAAATTAGTGAGTGGTAAAATAATCGAGCTCTCCTTTCTCCTACTGCTGGGTCGGCCACTGAACTCATAGCTACACTTCCTTTTTTACCCTCTTTCCTCCCTTTAACTCTTCTCAATTGTTTTCTCCCTCTTTTTTATTTTTCGGCGGGACTGACGCCCCCCCCCCCCCCGCTGGATCCACCACTGATTAATTGGCAGAGCATTTTGTTGAATGAGTTTACTCAGCACTTCGTAAATGCAAAAGAAAAGGCGATATATAAATATTAAAAACATAAATTATTAAAATTCTAAATGCACTTAAAAAATATATTTGACAAAGTGTTCACCTTCTGTTGTGTTTTCTACTTTGTCTTCACGTTTTCCAAACGCTGCCAGTTCAGTAATCATCCTCATTACCGCAGCACAATCCTCTGGTTTAGCGTCTCGTATGTTGAAACTTTTTTCCTCCATGATCCTGTGGATCGCAATAGGAATATAGTCACACAATAATTTGATTCAACAATAGCCTACTTTTTGCAGCCCATGACGACTAATAGTAATAATAATAATTGCAATCGGCCCAGTAGACAATTCTGATCAAATTCAACTCAACCAAACCAAATCTAATCAAACTCAAATCGAAAATAATTTGGACCAGCAAACTTTTATTTAGCTTTTAAATCAGGGCCGTTGGAACCGCACCGGTTTGGCCGGACCACTTTTTCTCGATTCTGTATGATTTTTTAAAATGCATATATTATATATGGATACCTATTATATGAATTTACTATTAATGCTCACATCAGGTTCTTTTTTTTTTTTTTTTTACGTATTTAAAGAAAAATCTACCACGCGCTCGTTTTTTCTTTTTTTTTTTTTAGTATATTTAAACTTTTTGTACATTTAAACCTTTTGGAAATCCATAATTTCAGTTTTTGAAAATATTTAGAGGCATAATCGGCTTGGAGCGGTTGGCGCAGCGGATGCGTTTCGGTCTATCAAACTCGAGGTCGGTGATTCGAACTTTCGCTGTGCATTTCGATCTTGTTTTTGAACAAGGCACTTTACTGTACCTACGTTTGTCTTTCTCCAAACAGGAGTGCTAATGGGACCCGGTTCACTAATGTGGAGGTATAACTGGCCACCATTCCACACTGCCGAGGCTTAATACTGTACGATGGGCTAACAGCTCATTCCTATACGTTCAGTAATGAATACGGGACTCGATCCTTTACCTTGAAAGTGAGACCGATAAAGACAACACTATACCCTTTTTTCTAGACGCCCGAAAATAACCTCTGAGGCGTTTTGTTCAATCAATTATTTCTTTTTCTTTCTTTCTTTTATCATTTTTTAACTTTCCAAAAAGGGGAGAAGCGGCCTGCTTGACATCACTCTTTTAGATAGACATTATTTTTATTGCCCATGGAAAACTTATTATTTATTTGAAAAATAGCAAATAGTAAATTATTTCATGAGGCTCCAGAATTTGATGAAGGCGTGGACGTGAAACTAACAATTAATTTTATTTGGCCTAATAGATTTTGAAGATGCAATATGAGCAGTATGAAAGGTTTTAAAGAATAGGCCTATAGCCAACTTTCACTTGTTAAGGAAACTGATCTTTACAAAATTAAACCAATCTGATTAAAAACATTGTGGAAATGTCATTAATTAAACTACCAGTTAACGTTCATTAGTATGATTAATGAGAATCGTAAATAAGTCGAGGTCGAGTAAAATAAATCCCTACATATCGGACATACAAAGAGCCATCTTCCAGTGTTCTGTAGTCTATCAAAACTTTTGATAGCCTGAAGATGAATGGCCAATTTTTACATGTTAAGGAAACTGATCTATACAAAATGAAATCAAATTAATTGAACACTTTGTGGAAATGTCACTAATTAAACTACAGGTTAACGTTCAATAATATGATTAAATTTAAAGAATCGTAAATAAATCGAGGTCGAGTAAAATCAGTGGCGTAGAAAAATATTTTTCATTGGGGGGATGATTGGCGTGTTAGCCAGTGTCGTAACAGGCGCGGGGGGTAGGGAGAAAACTGCCCCTCCCCTGACGGTTTTTAGCGGGCTGACCAAGCCGTCGTACCGGGCTGGGTAATAAGAGAAATGAAAGAGGGGAGAGGGAAGGAAAGAGAAAGAAGAGGAAAAGAAAATGAAATAGAAATAGAAGAGAAAAATAAAGACAAGAATAAAAAGGAAGATATCATAATGACCAGACTCACAATAACCTGCAACCCCTTCTCCACCTCAAAAACTGTCATAACTCCTTTGATCTATGCTGCCCGATGGCGTAACCACTGGGGGACAGGGGGAAAATATCTATCTTCGAAAAATCTTCCCCACCCCTTTATAAATGCCCTTTTCATCCACTGAAAGTGCCTAAAAACCTCAAATTTCGCGCGCATTTATTGTTAGCATGGGCCAATTCCCTCTAAGAATTGCACATTTTAGGGAGTTTTGATCAATTCCAACGAAATTAGAATTAAAAACACCGGGGGACAAGGGGAAAATATCCATCTTTGACAAATCTTTTCCCACCCCTTGACAAATGCATCCTCTGAAAGTGCCTAAAGTTTTCAAATTCTTTGCGCGCATTTCTTGTTACGGTAGGCCAATTTCCTCTAGCTATAAATTGCACATTTTAGGGAGTTTTCATCAATTCCGACGAAATTAGAATTAAAAACACAAAAATATTTTGCGCGCCTCGCGCGCATTTTTAAGGCTTCTTTAGGTTTATCCTTTTAAGTTATTTAAACACATAATAGTCCCAAACTCAAGAAAGACAAATTTAAGAGATCGTTTTAACCTAAAAGAAGGGCCTCAATGTGTATAGATGGTGAAAGAAT